ACGGCCTTCCTCAAGGTGAACTTGCAGTGAAACCTTAAGTGAAGCAGTTGTGATCTTCTATTTCATTTATTGCTAGGCAGTAGTGAAAATTAAATAACACAAAAGTTCCCAAATATATCACAGTATTACAGGATCAGATGATGTTTAAGTTTGTATTAATGAAGGTAATTAACTCCTTCCTGAGTGCTGCTACGCTATGCATAAAAGACATAGTCTGGCCAGCTGTTTACCTGGACTGTTGTGTTCCGTTTCTGTTTGTAGAATGTTATCATGGGTAAAATGCTCATTATCTATGACTAAAACTTAAAATCAATATTTTGTTTTGCTGATATACTGACACAGGTGATCCATCACTCTGCTCTGCTTGGGAGAGTTTATCATAGCAAGCTGCTGAATGGTCCGTTCTGGGTTTCAGACGGCCAGGTGCTGTGTGATCACAGTTGGAGTAATCAGGTTTTGTGTGGGCCTGTTCCCTTTTTAATTAAGGTGTAATTAAGGTAGAGAAGGTCAGCGTGAAGGACATGAGCTGTAATTAAAATGCCGACCACATGAGAACAGAGATGTTTAAGAGTAAATGAATAGGTCCGTATCACTGACATGCTGTGAATTGGTTCAGGATACATGTTTTACTGGTCTGAAGGTTGAACTGTATGTAAAGTCATTCACCGCTACTTATGGATGCTTTAATAAATGAAATCCTTCTACCTTCTCCTGTATTATTTAAAGCTATAACCAGCACATTTTACATATATACAAATCATTGTGCTTAACTCTTAGAAGAATACAGTTATTATTGCCATTTTGCTGTACTATGTAAATGTACGAACAAAATTACAGTTACATATTTACCCTGCATTTATATTCTGTATTGACATGTTCAAGTCTGCATTGTCTTCCATTTGTTTTGATGTCACGAAATGAAAAAAGGCCAAAAATGTAAAAGATGTTTTCCCTTCTGAAAAATAAGACGGTACACCAATAAATTCAAACCATAATAAAAGATCTCCTCTTCAAAAAGTTTAGAATCCAGTTTTGAGGGTTTTTTTGGGGATACAAGTGAGAAATAATTAATATGAAATTGCACCATGCTTTTATCACCACCTGTGATAACTGTGACTTCCGAGGTCAAACAAAAACTCTTTCAGAAACGTATGAATAATTCATCAATTTACAGAGAGACCTTTCTGGGCATTGTTTCCTGAAGGTTGTTTGACTATAATTTTGCTGTAATTTGCCATAGTGCTCTAATCAAAAGAAGAGGGGGGGGAAACACAGAGGTGGGAACAAGCTATTGAGTTTCAAGCAACAAGTGAGTCTCAAGTCCCAAGCCAAGACAGACCTGGGGCAATTTAGCATCTCCAATTTACCTGACTGCATGTCCTTGAGTCTGTGCAGAAAAGACTACATTAGAGTCCCAAGTGAGTACAGGCTCCGAGTCAAGTCCCAAGTCAAGTCAAGCAAGTCCCAATTCAGAAAAGGCAAGTTCCAAGTCAAAACAGGCAAGTCCAAAGTCAGGTCCCAAGTCAAGCTTTAAGTCAAGCAAGTCAATACAAATAAGGAAGACAAGCAAGTCTCGAGTCAAGACAGGCAAGTCAAATCCCAAGTCAGGCTCGGAGTCAGGTCCCGAGTCAAGTCCTAAGTCAAGACAGGTAAGTCCCAAGTCTGAAGTCAAGACAGCAAGTCCCGAGTCAGTACAGGCAAGTCTCAAGTCAAGTTCTGAGTCCTAAACTTCAAGTCTTAAACAAGTGAATATGCATTCTTCAGCAAATGTAATGCCGACACTCAACAATATAAATGATGGAATTGGTGACTGCAGAGTAAAATTAGTCCCAGCTGCAGCCAGACGCCTCCTCATGTTTCTACCATGTTTTCTTTGGTCTTGAGTGTTTGAGTCATAAAGCCCACATACAAGAGAGAGTGGTGCTACAAGACTTTACGATACTTTATCAAACAGAGAAAATCATTTTCACTACTGCATACAAGCTCTGCTGAATGGCTCTACCTACAGGCCATGGAAGACAGGCTAATGATGATTATAAATTTCTATTAGGTCATTTGCTCATTACTGAGGGGGTCTTTCCTGACCGCTGAACTTGAAGCATTTTTTAGCACCAGGCTAAAGATTTATGGTTTGTGGTGAAGTGCTAGCTAAGGAATGCAGGTCCAGTAAGTTAGCAGACTTACTCTTTGATTATCCTTCTGTAATTTCTTTATTGTGAACACTGGTGTGTGGGAGGGGGGCTGGAGTGGGACCATGGTGGCCAAAAGAGGGTCATGATGTAGTTTTAACCCCAAAGAAGGTTAAGAACTCCTGATCTATGAAAACAGACAAAAGTACATTACAGAGCTAAAACAGTAATAGCAGACATGTAGAAGCCTGAAATGTGTCTGTGTTATATCTGATCAACCACATTTGGGAAAAGGGTTCAGGTGTACATTTGATTCTTTCCTTTAATACGATCCTCTGTAATCGAGCATTGTAGTGCATGTGCTCCCTGACCCTAAACGCTAGCTGTATTAGCTTGGCTGCTGTTTTCCTCGCCATGGCTAAGCTAATAGGATAAGCCATTGTGATGTTCTCCAGCTGACACAGCTTTGATTCAATCTCACCACCCCAGACAAATTTCATTTACCCCACAGATATCATTTTCTGATAGCGGACGTTTTTGATATTAGTTCCTTAATCTGTAGCTTAGAGGCTTCACAGCAGGCTCACGTGGAAAGCTGTTATGTTCCTTTCACTCGACTCACAGCCAAGGCCTGTGCCGGCCTCTTTGGCTGAGTGTCAGTCAGAAGACTACGATACCCACGATGCCTCCTAATGAGGGTAAATAAAGGAGGTCCACATGGAACAGTGGGAATATGAGATAAGGGCTGCATGCAGTTTGGCGCAGATGGCCCCTTATTACAGCCCACCTGGTCTTTATCTTTTGCTTTTCCCTAAGCCCTCCACAAAAATTCCACTGGAAAAAAGTGGTGCGCTGAATTTATTTGAGTGGAACATGAACATAATTTCCACATGAACACAATTCAACTGTATCAATTCGTTATAAATAATCCACAATCTTCACCAAACCTAAGTGAACTGAAGGACAAAATTGTGTTTGTGCAATATATATATTATTCATGCACAATGAATTGACGGCTCATTCTCATGAAGCATGACAAACACTGAGACCCAGCCTGAAGAAATTAAAAATCTAAAACGCTTCTTTCTTTTTGGATGTACATCCAGCGTTCGGATTAATGATTAAAAGTAAACCTGAATGATTTAATCAAATTTAAATCCATTTTTAGTGATATTATGTCAAGTGACCAAATAAATAAAAGATAAAGATGTATATTTATATATTTGTCCCCCTCTTTTTTTTTCTAATTAAGAAAAGTTTAGTTGTCTTCTCACAGTGGAAGGATGGACAGCAACACCTGTGGATTTTTTCAGATCTGAAGCAACAGTGGAGCTTGATTTTCTCCTCTCTGAGAGAGGAAAGCTTCAAGTGCTGTTTATCTGACAGGGACAGTTTTGGTGAAATTGTGAAATTCTCTCTCTCTCCCTCTTAGTGCAGGGTCAGTGGGGTGATAGTCATTTGGAGTTCTTTGGTTTCTCTTTGTGCTGTGTGTGTGAGAGTGTGGGAGGCGGTCCGGCTCTTCAGTGTGTGTGTTTGTGTGTGCGTGTGTACGTGTGCTCGGGGCAAAATGAGCTCATTAGGAATTCTGAGGACGCCTCTGCGCCTCGCGCTTCTCAGAAGCCGTATGACATCTGCACAGCCATTTGTTGGAGTTTCAGAAGGCCACACCTGCTTGTTACTGTGCCACAAAACTGACACCAGAGACAACAGACTGCGCGTGTGTCTCAAATAGAGCCATTCTGTTCTGCCGATCATGTTTTTATAATGCATTGGGATTTAATTATTTTTTGATAATTAAACTCCTCTCTTATGCTTCGCCCACAAATGGGTTCAACTCTGGCCAAGTTGGACAGTCTTTACAGAATCATGACATAATCTCATTCAACCTAATGCCAGATTACAGTTGTGTGCAAAGTTTGCATACCCCTGCCAACATGCTTTGTTGACTTTCTAAGTGAAAACAAGTTAGCGCATCCTCTACAGAGAACAAAATTAAATATGGCATTCGTCTGCAAAATTTAATGCATGATTACTGTTTATTTGTTGAATTTTACATATTGGGAAATAATAAAATATGAAATGTACCATAACTTTTGTACAGACCTCTAGTTCTCGTTTTTCTCAGTATGTTACATTCAGCAAATGAACAGTACTTGTGCGTTAATATGTGCAGAATTGTGTTCTTTGTAGAACATGTTAACTTAGTACTTACTAAGAAAGTCACCAATACATGTAATCTGACAACGGGTGCCCGTATTTTGGCCTTTGACTGTATGAAATTAAGGCCGGCTTTACTCGTTAAAACTACGTTAAAGCTACTTTCAACCTTACATGAAACTAAACTGAACTTGAGTTGCATTATGTAAAGCATCGTGCAACTCACTTGAAACCCAGCTGCAACAGCTGCGAGTGTCCCAACATTAAGTTTCTCAAACTACAAGTTGCACGAAACAGTCCATCAAAATGCTGATCATGACTATCGAATAGCTGTTAAGGGGCCGCTTGTGCCAGTGTTTATTACTCTTTGTCAGCCTTTGGAATTCAACTGCATGCAACTCACTACATGCGACTAGTTGCATGAAAGTTTCACTGTGTAAAGCCAGCCTAAGATCTTTGTTTAGATTTACAACACAATTTTGGGTTTAAAATGCTACAATGACCTGGACTAAATTTATAATGCTGGATCAGCAGGTGTCTACAAACCTACAGTGTATCTGTCTTTCCTACTGTATTCTGCTTTTTTACTTGTTACTATGTTTGTCTTTGTGTGAGTTTCTGTCAACTCAGTTTTTATATTAGTGATATCATACTTGGCTGATAAGACCATTTTCAATTCTGACTAATTTTCTCTTTCTCTCTCTTTCTCTGTAGCTGACATATCTGCCTCCTCCGTGGGGGGAGTGCGTGTCGCGGGCGCTGGACTCAGGCTTCTTTCAGGTCTACAGCGTCACAGCCTGCCGCATTGAGTGCGAGACACGCTACATTGTGGAGAACTGCAACTGCAGGATGGTCCACATGCCAGGTTAATTTCCTTTCATCTGCTCTATCTCTCCTTCCTTTCTGTCCTCTCTCTCCGTCTCTCTCTCTCGTTCTGTCACACAGTCATTTATTCACACATTTCCCCACTATAAGCAAATTATTTACCATATTTGAATTCAGATTGGAAAACAACTCCATTTCTTAAGTTCTTTGTTTCAGATCAGACCGTTCAAGTGAGAGATTTAACTGAATGGATGCAACAGCACCAATTTACTAGCGCATTTCAATGCTTTCTCGCTCGCTGACTCGCTCTTCATCTCTTTTTCTCTCTCTCTCATGCATACAGTTTTCAGGCTCAAACTCTAGGGCTGCTCAATTGATCATCTATTAATCAGTATCGTTTATTGGCCTTTGATATCTCAGAAAGCTGCAATATGCAATAGACCCTCTAACCAATCAAAGCATTTATAACTATATATATATATATATATATATATATATATATATATATATACACACACACACACACATACACACACACACAACTTTATCATGGGGAGGCGTGTTCTTCCCTCCCTTCCCTGTGATAAAACCAGTAACGCATCGTGGCTTGTTGCTTTTATAAAACGGCGGCTGACATAAACTACCCTAAAATACACACTTTTTCAGAAAATAATTTTAATTATTATTCATAATAATTGACATGAACAAGTATTTCGCCAAGAAATGCAGTTACTTTAGAGTATGGTATTGTTGGCAAGCAACCATGGACCACTGAATGAGAACAACCTTCGGCCGGCGATCGCTGTATATTGCAGTCATTTCATGAACTTTTTAACCTTTTTTGTGTAACAATTAACATATGATAACAGTGCTGTTTCACTAGCCATCACTATATAAGTACCATCACTATGTAAGTACTTTTTGGTCACTAAATTACCACCGAGTCTGCTCCCTACATAGTGCACTACATAGGAATTTAAATACTGGATGCTGCAGCCCAACAGTGAATAAATAATTTAGCAAAAAAAATAGTCATTTAGGATTCAGCAACATCCATACTCAGTAAATTATCAGGCTGTAGAGGCTAGAATTTCTAAACATCCATAGCTAGGTAAGCACACTGTTTAGGGAATACGGAGTCGTTTGAGACTCAGCCCGAGTTTGATCTGACTTCTGACTGAAACAGACATTTGAAGCATGTCAGTCATTCAAGTCACATTCTTTAGTGTTTTATATTGCCCTTTTACAGTTAGTCATATCTTTTGTGAGGCGGTCATAGCTGTGTATATTGTGGATTTTACAACGGCTTCACATGCAGCTTAGCCAATCAGATTTTAGGACCGGAACTATCCGTTTTATGAATGTGTGTGTGTATATATACATATATATGTATGTATGTATGTATATATGTAGAGAGCAGTTTCAACAGTATCTACTGACTATTGCACCTATTTATATATTTTGTGGTGATTTATGCTTTATGATAATTAAAGGTTTTATGTAGTGTCAGTTTTTCTCTCTTTCTCTCTCTGCCCCCCCATCCCCCCTCCCCGGTAACCTAATACCCTCAGCTAATTGGACTGATGTTCAGGATGTAATAATGAACTAATTGGTCATTGGTAATTAGCTGCTGAGTTTTATATATGACTCAGTGCATTAATACCTTTGTTAGCTACTCATCCACTCTGAGAGCTCTTCTCAAAGCTCATTCTGAATGGAGGCTGTTTGGTCTAGTTATTAATACATTTATGAAAAATCTTTCTGAACCAGAAAATTAGGATGTTGAGTTTTCTGTGTATCTCACACAACTTCAAATTCCAGCTAAAAGGAAACACACAGTTTAGAGCAGATTGAGATTGTGTAGTTGTGTGGTCAGTAAGAGAGTATTCTGGGACTATGTAATATGATGTGAAAATGAGGTTTGTGGGGTTGAGGTGAGAGTTTACACGTGAGGAGAGCATGTGTACATGTGCTGGGGTTTTTGATCCTTAGAAGTTATAAGAGTTCCAATAGTTTTGTGTTGTACTATTCATGTGTAATTAAGTAGTTACATTTATATTCAGTTTATATCCTGTTTCAGCAGTTTGGGTCTGCCATTTTTTGGTGTCAAAAATGACAAAAGCATGATAAAATGTAAAGGATGCCTTTTCACCCCCACAAAACAAGACTGTACACAACAAAACACTACTTTTTCTAATTTTACACAAATGTGGTACAGATTGAAAGCTTAGAGTCTGCACTTGTTTCAGTGAGCGATGAATGAGACATATATTTAACAGGGGGTGAATAAAATAATGTTGTTTTCACTGCCCCAAAAATTGTGTCCGGTGTGCAAGATTATCAGTTATACAGAGCTCTAATCGCTAATGTGCTCTAATTAATTTATTGTCGTCCAAATAAATCACACTCAGTGTATAAAGGCCTTTCAGGGACCTATCATGGTCATCTAGTGTTGGCATGGCGACAGCCAAGATGACAGATTGTCCCTGTCCCACTGTAAAAGCCTTAAAGGGCCCATATCCTGCAGTCTTGTACGTATTTTTCTCCTGATGTCCATATAGCATTAAGTGTAGTTTTATGCACCAAAAACACAATTAAATGTTTTTGTTACTGTGCCTTTAAGACTGATGTATGTAAATGATTCTGTTCAGATTGGCTGCCCTGTGCTGTGCCTCATTCAGAAAGCAGTTCAGTCTGAAACACTTCCTAGGGCTTCATCATGCCTGGGGCTAAACTGCTGTAGGCTAAATAGGTGGATATATGTAAATCTGTTGTATTTTTGTGACATCATAGAAACAATAGAGTCAAAACTGTCTGTTTTTGAGGTTTAGTTTCCAGATGTTGACTGCCTGGACTGGAGAGTGAATTATGTCTTAAATATCAGCAATGTTTATGTACTGTTTCAAATAGTTTTATTTGAAGAAAGTGGGGAAAATTCAGTTTTCCATGACAAGGGCCCTTTAGGAGTTAAAAAGTAGGATTTAGAGCAAGAAACTGCAAGCAGTAGTTAGAGAAACACACACGCAGACTGTTATTGAGTTTGGTCAGCAGTTGTGTTCGGGTTGATGGGGTGAAGTTTGGGACAGCAGGGCTATTTCCTCTCAGTACACTTTCCTAAAGCTCATCATTAATTCATCAAGACTGAGTATAAACAGAAGCTCAACTCTCTCTCTCTCTATATAGGAGACTCTCCATACTGTACCCCAGAACAGTATAAAGACTGTGCAGAACCTGCTCTTGGTGAGTGCTGTATAAAATCTCTCTCTCTCTCTCTCACACACACACCTATGTTTTTGAATGTGTTTTATGTTTTTTGATTGCTGAATTATGTGAATAAGTCACAGGTACATTATTATAATCATCCTCTTGGTGGCTGTACTATAGCACCGTTTTAAGCATTGATGATGAAGCTTCACCAAGTGGGTGGATGTAAATTACGGAAATGGAAATTATCAGTAATATTTTCTGAATGTCAACACTTTTTTCCATTTAACTTTGGCAGAAAAGTATGTGAGATGTTGCAGATACTTACTTTGGAAACTCCAATGATACCTACATTGGAAATGCCTGTAGGTGTAAATTAGGTGTCATTCCCCCACGTACCCCTTACGACAAACACAAACTGTGTGTAGAGGTAGAGCTGGACTGAGGAAGGACACCATCCAGCTCTTACAGAGCAATTTCCAGAACACTACAGCATTTCTAAAAAGAAAGTGTTTAAACAGCTCTGCCTGGCATCTATTGTGCAACGCTTCTGAAAGAAAAAAAAATTAAAATAAACAGAAATTCCTCATTAGTCAGTAATGGGTAAGCCAGGAAGCTAAAGGTGTAAAATTTGCAATGTCCGTGAAATGGGATATGGAAACATTTCAGATTCACCTTTTTTGCAGAATGTGATGTCATTATATAAAGCATTTCTAAGGCAAAGTCAGTTTGATTAAAACAAGCTGCAGTATTAAAGTTCAGCCTCCACAATGGTGGGGTTAGTTTTACTAAGACTCCCAAAAAACACTTAAGACGCAAGCGTAGCCATTTCTGAGATGCTCCAGCCCAGTCGTCTGTCTGTAACAATCTGTCCTTTGTCAGAGTCACTCAGGTCTTCACGCCTGCCCAATTCTCCCACATCCAACACAATGACTACGAGAACTGACTGTTTGCTTACCGTCTAATATATTCCAGACCTTCACATGCGCCATTGTTACGAGATAATCAACATTATTCACTTCATCTTTGAGTTGTTATAATGTTTTGGCTCATTACAGTACCTGATATTCAATGAAAGTGTTAGCAAAAGTTTATTTAAATCATGGCATGCCTGTGTTTGTGACTAGGCAGGTCATAATGCACCATGTGAGCATGTTATAAACACCATTTACAATGCATTATGTTGGCATTTCAGAATGCTTAGTAAACATAGCTTTAAAGTGTAATGTATTGTTATAAATATTTATAGTCACATTTATAATGCCTTATGAATGCATTGTGTTATGAATGTGTTTATAGTTATTAGACATGGTATTTATAGAAAGTGTCTTAATTTCTTATTGTACTTATTCACTCTATTTACTGAAGTTTAATCGGCTGCTCAAAAATGCACACGCGTCCCTCGCCAGGCAGTGCAGCACTCAAACACACACGTATATGCTCAGAGAGAAACAGCGTTTCTGCTAATACCTGCTGCCTGATCATCAAAATCCAATTAACACAAAGTTGTCAGAAACTCCCCTTTCACCCCTCACTCCTCTCCATGCAGACTCTCATTTCCTTTCTCTTTTTTTTATCTTCTTTTTTTCTGTCTTATCTTCATTATGGCCAGGTTGGGAAAACATGCAGAAGTTCTTATTATTGGGTGTTTTTTCCTAACTTGTCTGTGAGTTCTGGGTGTCTGTATTCCTGCTGCGTGTACAGAAGCCTGAGGGTTAGCAGCAATTATTTGTTTTTTTCTTTCACATTTTTTCTCTTTTTGACTAATCTGCAAAGTTCACCTCTTCCTAATTAGCAAAGTTGGCTCTACATTGACTAATTATCTCCCACTAACGAGGAAATTCAAATTAGTCCTGAGTTGCACTTGTCAAGTCTCCAGCTGATCACTTATTCAGTCCAAACTGTCTGCATTTCCCTGCTCGCCTTTTCAAAAGTGGACTATGTTTTTTAAAAAAGGACCTCTTTCATTTCACCTCAGGGTGCTCAGATGGGCGAGAGCACACCAAGGTACTCCATAAAAAGTTTCATGAGAGTTTTTTTAGCATGTTGGCAGCTGAGTGGAGATGGGATTTTGCTGGGGAAACAAAACAGATCACTGGAAAGTATGCGTGCAGCTTCAGATGTGGCCAACAGCGAAGAACAGCTGCATCCCCACTTCAGCCTCCTACAGGAAAGATACATGTTGCATCTTCCACAGGAAGAGTTCTGCAAGCATACAAAGGCCTTAAATGGCCCACATCATGGAAAACGAAATTTTTGATTTTTTTTAAATAACACTTAATATTCATCACCATCATCATCATTCTATGTGAATGTTGATATAGTTTAAAACCAAACCCACACTATACAGTCCATTATTGGAACCTGAGCTGCAGAAATGGCCCATTTTCAGTTAATCACAACACCAGCACATTTCCATAAGGCCTCCCATTTAGCCTACAGCAATTTAGACCACATCAATTCAACGTGATAGTTCTTCTTAAAGATCAACACATTTGAAAGGAGCAGTGGAAGATTTTCAGTCTGAACTTGTAACAGTTTATTTTTATTTCAGCCTGGCCTGCTTTTTGAATGAGGCACAAAACAGAACAGCCTTTCAGAACATTTACAGTTGGGTCATTTGCATATTATTAGTCTCAAAGGCACGTCTATAAAACAGCCTGTTTAATTCTAAGCGATAAAAAGAGATTGGAAAACAGGCATGTAGAAATGAATGACAGTTTATGGATTATAAAAACACACAAACATTAAAAAAGTGGACATTAAAATCTACTTTTTCTTGCCTAATCAATGGATGTGCTAATTTAAACAAACTTACAAAACAAATCTTCCACACCAATTACTGAATATATTGACCAAGAACAAATTATACACAATGTGCAATGTATTCACAGTGTAGTCAGTGTTTCCACAGCGTTAGCAGATCTTTAAAAATCCTGACTTTGTTTCTACTGCCTTTCCCTAAGGCTTTTGATAATATTTTTATAAAGGGAACAAAGAGGGTAAATCAGTTCAGTTCTTAAACATATTTGTCTTGTATAATACTTTCACAGGGCACTCCAGAGTTTCAGAATGGAGGGTTTATTATGCTAAATTAAAACTACTCTGGTTTTCCTTTGGATCTGCATTTTTCTGTGTGTATGTGTGTGTGTGTGCACTGTGTGCATGCAGGACAGTTGCTCTTGGCTCCATATAGCAAGTGGGCTCCATATTGTCTTAATTGGATCCCTTTTATCTCTGCTTAAGCAATTTTACACTCGTTGACTCATAGGTGGCTAAGATAACTTATAATATAGTTATAACTCTTAATCTACATCACGGCACCGGTGTGGTTGAGACACAGCACTTGGGAGTAAACAAGCAAACTGCATGGTAATTAAAGGTAATTTTCATAAGGGGGACCCATTAACTTTAACTTTATATATATATAAAAAAAAATTCTCTTTGCTCTGCAGCTAAAAAAGATCCTACTTATGCCCGAGAGTGTGTGTGTGTGTGTGTACACAGTACTATGCAAAAGTCTTAGGCAGGCATTAAAATCGCTAAAATTATTACATCATTTAAAACTAATATATATTTCATAAATCACTAGCATGATACAAATAAATATGAATACCGTAAAAAATGTATATTGTTCCTGTAATACTTATATTATCAAACAAGTAGTTAGTAATTAAGTGGCTGCTTATTTCTTCATTATTAAGCAGCATCTAGAGTGGATTAAACATATTCTGAAGCACCTGTAATGCTCTTATTAAGCCTTATTTAGATATGAGGTTTGAGACCAAGACACTTAAATAGCTTTCTGCACACTACTGTCTGTGTGTATGATGAAGTGGGATGGATTTCCTTTCCTGACTGCATGACCTTTTAAAAGGTGGTGATGACATTAAAAACAGAGAGGAGGACAGGACAATTAGACTGGAGGAAGACAGGAGAGGTGAAAGGCAAAAAAAAATTCTGGAGGCATTTGTATGAGGTGGACCGAAAGAAGTAATGAGCTCAATGATTGGAGATAAAGAGAGGTAGTAATAGAGAAAAAGAGAGAGAGAGGAACTAATAGATAAACAGACAGAAAGAGGGATAAAGAAAGGCAGCGAGAGAGAAAAAGCAAACTGACTAGAAATGGACATTTGTCAACAAAGTAAATTAAAAAAACAAGAAAGAGGGTGAGCAGCAGGAAGAAAAGCAAAGAGAAGGAAGGGAAAAAAGGGAAGACAGAGAAAGAGAGATAAAGAGATAAAGAGGGAGTGAGAGAAAGAAAGAGAAATAGTAAAAGAAATAATGAGAGAGAAAGAGAACAGTAATGAGAAAGAAAGACAGGTGAAAGAGTTGCTACACGAAAGAGAAAGAGAGACACCAAGAGAGTGAGAGAAAGAGTAAGCAAGCGAGAAAGAAGGAGAAAGACAGAATAAAGAAAAGCAGGAATAGAAGCAGCAATAGAGTGAGAGAAAAAGAAGGAGAAACCGATAGACAGAGAGAGAAAGAATAAGAAACGGAAAAGAGAGAAGGAGAAAAAAAGAGGGGGAGACAGAAGGGGCGAGGGAGAGAGAGATAGCAGGGCTGTATGTTTAAAATGTCACTGGGAAAGGTCAGGTTGTAGCTGGAGGTTTTGCGAGTTGTGAGCTGATTAGAAGTGGAGGTGAAGCATAGCTACAGGCGGAGGATCGGGGGCCTCCAGCAGGCAGATGAATCGCAAATGAACCTCCATCCTGTCTGCTTTATCTGCTGCGATGAAAGGACGCAAAGCTGCATTATTCAAAAAAAGAGAATGTGCAGAAATACAAATGCGGACCCTCGCTCACCTCAGCCATGTTTCAGAAGCTCCGGCTTTACCACGAATGAACCACTGAGCCTTACAAAGAGCCCCTTTTGGTACCTTTGATGTCTTATCACTTGTTTCATGGCATATAAAGTCTAAATGTCAGCTGAGTCTTAAACCTCAATCCAGATCTGCATTACAGACCCGAAGCAAAAGTTTGATATGCTTGCTGACATCTTGTCACATAAGATAGCGCAACACGACTGCATATCAAAGCACGGACAGCAAGATATTCGCTGTGTAAATTTACCTGGCGTCAGTCAAGCTGCGTAGAGATATCTCTGCAAAAGCTGTCAGACATCCATTTATCCATCATCTGCTCAGACATGAGAGACAGCAGGTTAGTTATTTCACTTTCTCCAGTACAACAAAGTAACAAGAGCAATGGTTTTAAGGGCTACTGTTCCAATACATTTACAAATATATCCACTTATTTAGTCTAAAACAGTTTCATTCACTCTGAAGCATTAAGGAGTCCTTCAGCCCGGACTGCTTTTTAAATGAGGCACAATATACAGTAGCCAAACAGAACATATATATCCATCTTAAAGGGCTCATATGTTTTTCCCCCTCTCGTTTTCTTTACAGTGGTGGTGATGGGAACCAGGGGCCACAACACAAATATAGCTATTTTATTTACTGTCCAAATAGACCAGTAGACCTTTTCTGTGAGGGAGCTTTTAGAGCCTTTATACTCTTAAGATATCTGCTCTCCACCATTGTGAACAATTCTGTCTTGGTAAGTTTCTTTACAGTGGAGCATTTAGAATATATTTAAAACACATACTGGTAAGGCACCTGGCAAAAACAGTTCTTTGCTGTTATTAGTTGGCAGTTTTCTTCATGCAAGTCTTCTGTTAAGCGAATTTTTCACGAAACATGTTATCATTCAAATGAAGTTCCAAAAATTTTCAACATTTTTTTCTCTCTCACTGACTGCTTCAGTCCACTGCTGCTCCCACAATCCCCCAAGCAGAAGTCCACTACAACACTGATGCTAACATGTCCACTACTGAGGCGATTGTTAGTTTATCATCCCTAAAAAGAGCCCAGTAACACGGAGATTAATAACTGATCAACACAGTGATTTATCAGTCTACTCAGGCTTTAGCAGAGCTCAGTAACACTGAGATTAATAACTGATCATCCCACTGATTTATCAGTCTACTCAGGCTTTAGCAGGAACTTCAGTGTTTGTAAAGGAGTTATCTTTACAGTTCATCTAACAGGTCATGCACTGATTTAAAAAAAAAAATTACCTAAAAATTATTTTTTTATTTAGTGTGTAAATATTAGTATTCTCCTAAAAATGTAAATTCTGAATACCACATTTTCAAAATGTTAATTTCTGTATTCTAAAAACATATTCCCAAAACTTGTATTCCTTTACATGCCAACCCAAATTATGATAGCATGCGTTTGAAATTAAATTTTCCTTTTCCTCATCTGTTTTCATCATCAGCATGATAATCAGACTAATTTATTGCCATCACCATTCTGATTCTAGGTTTGTTCTGAGGAGCTTTTCTTTCACAAAAAAATCATGCAAATCAGTATTTTGGAAAAAAATTGGCACATAATACAGTGTTTCTGATAGGTTAATCCCAGCAGATAAACAGAAATTATGCACTGAAAATGTTTGATTGTTTCTTTAGCGTTAACTTATTTTCTCTTCAACAAAACATTTCATTTGCCTATTCAAACTTTTGCATATGACTATGTAATTATAACAAATTTAATCCCAAAATGTAAAAGCTGTATTTTTTCCTGTAAAATAAGACAGTACACACTAATAACATTTAGTCATATTCAAATAGTAATAAAATCTCATCTTCTACTTACAAACACTAATGTGGTATAGATTGAAAGTCTAAATCCACGCTTTTCCACTGGTTTCACTGAGCTACCAGTGAGAAAAAATGAAACAGAGCAAATCAAAAAGATAAGAAGAGGTGTTTAACGGCATATACGCAATGACGGACCCTGGACAGTTAACAAGGTCAAGGCTGAGAGCAGTACAGTATGCAGACGTGTTGAGGGATACAGTGATAGTAGACAGGCAGAGACAGCGACAGCCTTGTGTTCATTTGCTGTCAGTTGTTCCTGCACATCTGTCGCCCACGGCAACCCTGCAGAAACCCCTGCTGCTGTGCTGTTTGACATCATGACAATGCGCCCCAAAAGACCAAAACCAAAAGAATGCTGCATTGAATTTTCTCAATATAAATGTGTCTGTCATTTCCACATGAACTAAATACAGTTGCATGCAAAAGTATGGGTGCTCCTCGTCATGTGGTGTTTTGTTGATTTTCTAGGTGTAAATAAGTAACACGTCCTCTACAGTGAAGACACTTACACACATTGTTTATTTGCTGAATTTAACATATAGAAAAAGTAAAACATAAAATGTGGCCTGTGCAAAAGTTGACACATTTTGTACTTTATACATTACACCAAGTATGTTAAACCCAGCAAATACATCTGAATTGTGCACTAAAATTTGCAGACTATGGCATATTTATTCATTATTATTATCTTCTCCTATATTTTCACCTTGTTTACTCTCCTCTTGTCTCTCCTGTGTTTTGTACTTCCAGCTGCTCTGTCCGCAGTAGAGGGCAGTAACTGTGTGTGCAGAAACCCCTGCAACATGACACGCTATAACAAGGAGCTGTCCATGGTCAAGATCCCCAGCAAGACGTCAGCACGCTACCTGGAGAAGAAGTTCAACAAATCAGAGAAGTACATCACGTGAGTTGTCAAGTATATCTCACAGCACTCACCACTCACAGCTTACAGCAGAAAAAAAAACAAATCTCGTGGCATTTCATTCTTAGTAACCATACTTCGTTTGTTTTTTATTATTAATTGCTATATAATCATTATTTCTTATTAAATATTATTTAATATTTTTTTCTTTGAGGTAAAGTACTGCCAGCCCTGTCTCTTTTTTCCACTTTCTCTCTCACATCCACATTGTGCAATATACATACATTATATACACACACACATAAATAAAAAAGCTATACAATAAAAACTCTGAAGGCAGTTGGAAGTGAGTCTTAGATGATATACACTCCAGTTTGAATGATGATAATTAGTGGTCATTACACACATTAGTTTTTGGCCTTCTGGTTTGATCAGGTTGGGGGGAAAAAGCTCCAGATTTGTGCTCAGGAAAGTTTTTATGGACCAAAAGAACATTAAAATTGTCAGATACGGACATTAATGGATTTATATTTTCACTGGTATTAAAATCACTGACCACTACAGTACCATTACTTGTACGTAAGGACGTGTGCTAAAACTCTGCAAAATTTTCCTCTCATCTTAAATATAATGCAAATGTGTGTAGTTATCAGCCAAACCATGCTCCCACATCACTGATCAGAGTTAGACAAGTCCTTAATGAAGATGGCCTTGCGCTTCTAATCCACATGCAGGCTGTGCTGTAATGGGCTGCGTTCCGATGACAAGCCTGGACGTTTCTCATATCCTCTCATAATTGTCTCTGACCAGGGAGCAAATCCCAATTCCCATCCGAGCTCTTCTCTAATAACGACGAGGCCATGTTTCTGTGATGCTGAACATGAAAATAAGACATTGATTGTTAGATCAGGCTTTAAGCAGACAAGTTCTTTGTTTTTTGCAGGAATTTCTCAGTTTCTTTGCATTATGACATCACTTTTCCTCCATTCATTACTGCTTAAAAGCAGAGCTGTGCTGATGTGTTTGATGTTGCAGTGGTGTGTGGCCTTTGGGAGTACTCAGTGCATATAAACTCATACCAACAGCTGTTTGTGCAGCACAGACTCAGTTAAATGAGCCTATAGCATTTCTCTGTAGATCCATGAGTGAAAGAAGCTTTTCTGATAACATGCTTATAAATTATATACCTATAAATTATATACCTATATTTAATAACAAAATATTACAGTGAGAGGAAACATGTGCTCAAGACACTTCTGTTAGTGTTAGCTAATATACTTCCAGTGCATATTTCCACTTCAGATATACATACAATCGTAATGTGTTTCGACTCAGTACTTACACTGATTAGCCATTACATTATGTGTAGAAACAGGGAAGTGGTTTTAATGTCCATTTTATCAGCTCCACTTACCATATAGTAAGTAGTCTAGTCCCTCTCTGCATGCTTCATTAGCCTGCTTTTATCCTGTTCTTCAAGCAGGTACTATTTGGGTGGTGAATCATTCTCAGCACTGCAGTAACACTGACGTGGTGGTGGTGTGGTAGTGTGTGTTGCGCTGGTCTGAGTGGATCAGACACAGCAGCGCTGTTGGACTTTTTAAACACTGTGTCCGCTCACTGTCCACTCTCTTAGATATACCTGCCTGGTTGGGCCACCTTGTAGATGTAAAGTCAGAGACAGCAGTTCATCTGTTGCTGCACAGTTTGTGTTGGTCATCCTCTAGTCCTTCAATGGTCACAAGATGCTATTGGCTGGATGTTTTTGGTTGGTGGACTATTTTCATTCCAGCAGTGACACTGAGGTGTTAAAAAACTCCAGCAGCACTGCTGTGTCTGATCCACTCGTACCAGCGCAACACACACTAACACACCACCACATTGATGTCACTGCAGTGCTGAAAATGATTCACTACCCAAATAATACCTGCTTTGTGGTTATTCTGTGGGGGGTCTAGACCACTGACGAATAGGGTGAAAGGGGGCTAGCAAAGTATGCAGAGAAACAGATGGACTACAGTCTGTAACTGTAGAGCTACAAAGTGCACATATATGGTAAGTGTAGCAAATAAAATGGACAGTGATTGTAAATACAAGGAGGTGGGCTTAATGTTATGCCTGATTGGTATATATGACAAAAAGTATGTATTAATTAGCACAAAGATGTTAATGATAGAGAAAAGGTGTTTATGCACAAAGTATACATTGATCAGGCAAAACAGTGGACAGTGAGTGGACACAGTGTTTAAAAACTCCAGCAGCACTGCTATATCTGATAGACTCAGACCAGCGCAACACACACTAACACACTACCACCACATCAGTGTTACTGCAGTGCTGAGGATGATCCACCACCCAAATAGTACCTGTTCTGTGAGGGTCCACTGAAGAACAGGGTAAAAGGGGGCCAAAAAGGTACAAAGTACACATGTATGTGTGCAGGTTGCATAAAGTTCTACATATACAAAAATGTTCTTGTGCTAAGGAAGCTTTGCCACATGCAGCAATCATGGTGAAGGAGCTTCTTAAAGTTCTCAGAGGCAACGTTATTAAAACAACCCTGAATGGAAAAAGCTACAGAGCCCTAGCAAAGACCTCAGACATCTCTGTCAGTACAGCTAGTTTGATTATAAGCAAGTGGAAAGTTCACTGAACCACAACTAATCATCCCTGGACAGGTGCACCATGCAAGATTTCACAACACACTCCTAGACTAATGATGAAGGTAAGAGAGAAGCCAGCAGTCACTCAAAAAGGTTTGCGGGATGACTCGAAAACAGCACGAACAACAGTTACTCAGAGAACTGCACCACAGTCATATCCGGTCCTGCAGTCCACGCAGAACTCCTGTGCTAAAACAAAGGCACAGTTGCACGTGTAAAATTTGCACTTTGGCATTTAGAAAATTCAGAACTGTTTTGAAACGTTGTTCTTTGATCAAACAAAAAAATAGAACTCTTTGGCAATAATTCCGCTCATGGTTGGAGAAATAAGGGTTGCGTGCATGATCCCAAGAACACACTGCGAATTGCGAAGGTGGGAGCATCATGATATGTGGCTGCTGCTTTGCAAAGAGTACTGAGGCATTACTCGTCATCGAAGGAAACATGATTACAACAATGTACCGGCTCATGTCAGAGAAGGCTTTTATCTCGTCAGCCAAGAAACCGAATCTGCAGAGAAGATGGATGTTTCAACAAGATGACTTCAAACACAGCCAAAGTAATTCAAGACTGGTTTCTGAAAGAGAAGCTGAAGGCGCTTGCATAGTCTAGCCCAGGGGTCGCAACCCAAATGTTAAGAAGAACCATTTTGTCCTTTCAGCAAAAATGAAACCACCTTGGGAGCCACAACATTTTATATCCATTTTACCATCTTGTCTGTAAATGTGTCTCAGTATGTACTAATGTACTAGTAAAAGTTTAAATAATATAATATTAACACAAACGCAGACTTACTTTGCTCTGCTTTAAGCTTTAGCTCAACTATAGCTGCTTTTCTTGCATCTCCAGCAGGAAACAAAAGTGGAATAGTTCCTTGTAAAATGTCTCTCAATGTTCGACTTTATACGAGGCTGAAGCTTCTCATTCGCCAGCTTCTTGTTCGAATTTTCCCGCTCCACCTTAAATGGCGCCAGAATTTAACTTCTGCACCATTTAAGGTGGAACTGGAAAATTCAAATGAGAAGCTGGCAAATGAGAAACTGACTGCAGCTTCATCTTTTTAGTGTTTGACAGTTTCTTGTTGCAGATTAAGCATATCACAAAACCAGCTGGAGTGCTTGTAGGTACAAATAGTCCATTCGGCTCTAAATTATCGATGTTTGTCTTAAATCTTTCTCTTTGCCGTTTTGTTAGCTGCTAGCTAGGCGAGACTGTTTTCTGCGTTGCTATGGTGACCAGCAGTCTGCATGCCAATCTTTGGGGTTAAAGGTTGGTGAATTAGCAGTTGTAGCAAAGCCTTTTTTCTCTACAAGTTCTCTGGTTGTAGGCCACATTAACTGCAGTGTTTAAGACCGATTATTGTTATAACTGTGTTAGAACGATCAGCAAAGCTTTATTTTACTGCAAAGGAGGATTTTTTTTTTTAAGCCTAAAACTAAAATTCTGCTGTGGAGCTGCAACAGGGCAGTAAAAGATAAGCATGTGGCTCTGGAGCTGCGTGTTGCCAACCTCTGGTCTAGCCAATCTCATGATTTCGATCCCCTTGAACTTGGCGAACCAAAAACCATATTTGAACCACAATGCTGCAAAAAGCTAATTAACGACCCCTCCAACTTGTACTGCCAACAACAGCTTTGCAACAAAGTACTAATATTATTCATTTGTGGTGTCTGAATATGTGCTGTTATACATTTTAAAGCAATAGTTCATGGTACATTGTAGGCCATGGTTCTATTCCCCACCCAGGCAAGACCACCACACCTAGCAAGACCTAACGCTTCTTTCAACTTCCTCTGTAGACAAACAGCATTTTACAGGCTTCAAACAGCCACTGAATAAGTACTTAAATGCTTGTTCTTGAAATCACCCTTAAAAAGAATCATGTGAAATGTTTGTCAGTCTGATAGAGCAGATACACGTCCATTTCAATCAATGTTCCAGTCCAAACCGGCTGTGCTAGACACGAGTCGTATGTCTGTCAAAACGCACGAATGAAGCATAACTCCACCAAGTCTAATCACACACTTCCAATGTGTGTAGTGTTCTAAACATTATATATATTTAAAATAATCATTGTTATCCTCTGGCTCCAAATGGGTGAATTAAGACCTGTTTTGAAGTTTGCTTCTTTCATTTTTGACTGGAGCTTGAAAGCTGTCTGTAGAAGTGGACTAGAGTACAGATTCAGGCTTTGAGGTGTCTGCTACTGCTGTTTTGTCATACAGCTTTAAAACAGATCTTGCTTGATCGAGTACATTTAAGGAACGGGAACTTGTGTAAACTGGATTTGCCTCTACACCTTTAATTTAAAGTGACCTTTTTTTTAATTGTGCATTCACAGGGACAACATCCTGGTCTTGGACGTCTTCTTTGAGGCACTAAATTATGAGACCATCGAGCAGAAGAAAGCGTACGAGGTGGCTGGCCTGCTAGGTACAGTCAAATGTATATTTCCATCATCTCCCTGCTCCCTCTTCCTCAACCCCCTCAATCTCCTCTCTCCTTTTTCAACTCTCGTTCTGCTCTTACTCATCCTGGCCTTGTCTGCTTCCTTTTTAGGCGATATTGGCGGTCAGATGGGGTTGTTCATCGGTGCAAGCATACTGACAATCCTTGAGCTGTTTGACTACGCCTATGAGGTCATTCGAGAGCACTTTTTTCTCTGTCCGACTGAGACAGACGAACACTCAAATGCACTCAAACCACACAATGAGCAGACTCCCGGAATACATAGAAGAACCAGTATCCCTCTGCACATGAAAATGACATATTTGAAAGAAGCCGTGTCTATATTCGCACATTGAAAAATGCTAATCCTCACTGTTGCCCGCACATACATACACAGACGCACTCACTCAGGCTGATTCAGACAATCAGACAGGCTCTAGAGCAGAGCCGAGTGATGGAGAGTTTCATCATAATGCTCTTTCATTAAGTCTCTATTGCTGCTGGTCTCTTTGGTCTAAAGACTCTGACCAGCATTAACCTCCCACTCACTGCACTCATACCCGCATGCACACGCACCTGCCTGCCGCTCCTGGTTTTAATGAACTCCCTGTGCAGACTACATTTACGTGGGTAGACAATTTTTGGAATTTCTCCAAGTTCAAGCCCCTTTGGCTTTTTTGGCTCTGCACTCTTTCGGGAAAAAAAGTGGACGTGTGTTTCTACACACCGAACGGGTGGTGGGAGGGATAGAATGGAAACATGGTCAAACATCTAAAACGAACCACTACTCAACAATTAATCCACAAAAATAAATTTTAAAGCAACAATCATGAAACCTGTATGCAGCAAAGGACTACTTTCAGATGTATAATAGTGAAATAAATGTAAAAGTCCACAATTGATACATCAGATGAGCTACAATCACAGATGCTGCTTACTAGCATGCATTTAATGATCGTAGCCCATCTACAGAGATCCTGAAGTCAATACTACATAGTTACATAATTAAACTACATACTCAACATTTTAGGTCAGCCAGCTGCACAGGTTTTTTGAATGATCTCAACTTAATTTTGTTCAGTCAAAAGTTTAGTCAGTACATTTTTTATAATGTATTTATCAAATATATTTTTGCAATGTATGAAAATGGCCAAAAAATGTAAATGCATTTGTTAAATATATTTTTAAAATGCATTTATTTGTATTTGTTAATTTTTTTCCAATTGTATGTAGTTCCAGCAAAGGTTACAGATATAACTAAGTGGTACTGACTTGTGTTTTGCACTGTACTTTGCTTTAACCTTTATGTGTATGCGGTAAGACAGTGTTCTCAAAAGTGTATTGCAACTAACCAAGATATCAAATCATAACTGCATTTTCACAGTGTATCAATACCTTCAACACTTGCTTTTGCCATGTTAAAGGTTTATTTGCTAATATTTAAAATTAAGATACTGGAATACAAATTAATTTCAAAAGGTATCCAAATCCTATGTGTAATATTTCCCCAGACAATTTAAAGTACATGTATTTTGAAATATATTTAGTTAATATGGCAATATATTCTGAAACACATTTTAGCGTTTGGAATGTATTTCTGCATGGATTGGAATGTATTTGACATGTGTTTCAAATATATAAAAATATATGTCCATGTATTTTTTCCATATGGGATTATTTTTTCCATTTGGAAGTTGAGCATACTCAAAAAGACAGTGAATGTGGCCATTGAGTGGAAGTACAATTTATTTTTTTTTTTAATCAAAACCTGAATATAGCCAATTTAAAAAGCTAAATAATGTAATATTTCCAGCTGGATATTGAGCCATTAGCCTTCACTCTTAGCTCCATGCACTGTTACTGTAGCACAAAGATACACAAAAGCGCTTCACCTGGATGGAACCAGAGCACTAATGTAATTTTACTGTAATGTTACTGTATGGTTCATGAACGCTATTGGAATGCTTAATGTATGGATTATAATTTCAGATAAAGCAATAAATTAAGCACTATTAATGAGTAAATGTATGTAATGAATGTAATTTGGATTTCTCTTGAGTAGGCTTATTCATAAACAGTACCAAAGCCTGTTTATTCCCTGAACAGTGAGTACTGAGTGCATTAACAGTGTATGTGTGCTTGTGCCCACAGGTGGTGAAGGAGAGACTCCTGGATCTCTTGAGTCGAGACGAGGAGGAAGAGAGCCGAGGAGAAGACGTGGTAATGAATGTATACTTTGCATGATAAAGCAGGTTGATTAATGTAATGATGCAAATGATGTTCTTTTTCTCCTACCTTTGAGTTTTAGATTACAGTCACAGTCTCCTTCTTTGGCCAAACCTATAATTAGTATCAGACAGACAGGAATTTGTGAGCAAAGGCCAGATTTTAATGGTCAAACCCAGGCAGACGGAGTAAGTGCTATCATGTTCATCAGATCTGACATACTGATGTATTTGTATTAAGAAAATTGAAGTAATGTATTGTAATTGAAGTTTCTGTGCAGTAAGTACATAGGTTGTGTACACTGACTGACCAGTTTATTGAAAACTACATAAAGTAGGTGGAGGTCAAAGTGGCCAGTGAGTGGAAGTACAATTTTAATAAAAACCTGAATATAGACTGAGAATATTTTGCCAAAGTATGACCCATGGCAAGTTTATGGCCCCAACGCAGCCATAGTCCGACAAAATTCTGTCTAAACTCGACATAATTCTGTCTGAATCTGACCGTATCCTGACAAAATTCTGTCTGTACCTGACGGCAGTTGATAAATTCTGTGTGAACTCAATTGTAGCCGACAAATTTCGGTCTGAATCTGACCATAGCAGACAAAATTCTGTCTGTACCTGATTGTAGCTGACAAAATTCTGTCTGAACCCAACTGTAGCCTGACAAATTGATTCCCTTATGAGAATACTGTATTTTTACTCATTTTGCCCCTCTGGACATGGTCACCAACTGGCTAGGAATCCTCCAAATATGATGATGCAGACTGTAGCTGATTGTAGCCTGACAGAATTATCCCTAAATCTCATTATAACCAACCAAAATTCTCTCCAAACCTGACTGATTATTCCCAATGACGACTGTAGCCTAATAAAAATCTGTCTGAATTTTGCTCGTAGCCCGGCAGAATTCTGCTTGAATCCTGACTGTAGCCCGACAACGGGACACTGAATAAAACAACATTCCTATTGGTAGTACTAGTTAACTTGTAACGACAATGACAGCTATCATCAAATTATGCCCGATGTAAATATTCAGGCCCTGTCAGGTTTGGACAAATATTTCAAGCTGCAGAGCAGTGTTTCCGAAACAGGTTCTTAGCAGGCACAGCACCAGGGTGTGCTGAAACACCCGTGAAAATTGTTCAGCAGCCCCTGAAAAATGTTCCTTTTGCCTCTTCTAAACAACTTACTTTTGTGTTTTACTTTCACTGGCCCATCATGGTAAAAACCCAGATCTGTCACTCACTTATTCTCTTAATAAAACATATCACACTTATTGTGTTGCATTAAAATAAAGACCTTTAATATCTGCATGTGTACCGCTTTCAGAAAAATAAACCTCACTCCATCTGTTTCTTCTTTATGCTTGATTGGTGTGTTAGTTGAATTCAGCTAAACAGTTTACTGATGCCTGGCCCAAACTGAAATACATGACGAAATAAAATGTTATGCTATTGCTAATCTGCTGTTATTAGCAGCAGCTTGTGACTCAAGAATGATAGGAGCCACAGTAAAGAGTCAAATACGTCGACAGTGCAGTGCAGACATACTCTGAGGACAGCGTGTCCTGGTGTTGAATTCCTGAAAATCTGACAAAATTCTGTCTGAATCCGACTGTAGTTCCACCAGCCGTGAACTGAACCACAGAGACCTGCGTTTTTTTTGTTTAGCGCACACCTGAGTATGGACAGATCATACCTGTCAAACTAAAGAAAAGGTTTGATTGAGCCGCACGAAACAAGGTTAAGAGTTATACGTGGGTGAAAGCAAGCCTTACGTGTGCTCAAATACTGAATTAGGGCGCCAAACAAGGAAGGAGAGGACCTGTTTGGTTCATTTTAACAGGTGTGAACACACCACCTGTACTCAAGTGAGCACTAAACAATTGAATAGTGGTCTGGCAAAACACCAGTCTCAGTTTTAGCTGTTACAGTGTGAAACCAAGTGAACCAAATATAATAGATACAATGTCACAAAAACCCAAACTCTGGTTCAAACCCCAGCTAATGAACTAGGTGTGAAAACAGCCTTAATATCAAATCTTGTCTGCACTGAATTCAGCAGGTATTCCTGCTCCATCCTCTTGCATTGCGAGTTGGGCTGGAGCAAAATGTGGACTGTCTTGGAGTTTGAAAATATCTTTTAAGCATATGTATGTTTTCTTTTCCCAGAGTACCTGTGATCCTGTAGTGAATCACTCAGAGACGATCAGCCACACGGTCAGTGTTCCACTACAGACCACTCTAGGGACGCTGGAGGAGATCGCCTGCTGAGTGCACGTCCCCTCACCACCACCGGAGGTGCAACCTCAAATTCTTCTCTCTCCCTACTGACAGGACTGGCGTCTAGGGAAGAGGGACAAAACGAAAAGAGGGGATGAAACAAAGACTCACTCTCTCTTTCTGCTCAAACTGTTATAAGATCATCTTGCACAAACACATGAAAACAAGCGTCAGGCAACGTAAAGCAAGGAGGATGCTGAACTCTTTCCACACATACAGTTCCCAAAGCCGAAACTGAGGCAAGACACGTTTGAGACAATTCCAAACAAAAACCAAGTGTGTGTGAATGTGCTCTCGCATAGGACTTCAGTGTGTAAATGTCTCTCTCTCTTCGCTCAGCCGCCGTTTTGAAGTCTACTGCCAAAAACATGAAGAAATACCAGAGAAAACATGGTGAACCTCCTCTAACTTTGCATGTGTCGGTTTCTCGGGCTACGATGCGGTTTTCTCTTGTTTTCTCTCTCGCTGAGAGCGCTTCCATCGTGCTGTTTGTTTGCTGTGTGTGTCTCTGCGTCTGTTTGGCCCGTGAGATGCCTCCATGTACGAATGTCCCGAACCCAGAAGCAGCACTCTTCCCTTTCCTTTTCCTCCTTCACAAAATCTTACCCCCTTTTTTAATGAATCCAAAAATCCTTATGAATCACAGTGACAGTTCTGCCATTGTGGCCTCATCTTATGACTGGCTAATGAGGGTCTGTCTTCAGCCTCCGTCTTTTCCCCTGACTATTTAAAGAGAAGGAAGAAGAAAACTTTGGAACAGAAAAATACAAGATTAAAAAAGTGTTTGTGTCTTTTGTGAGACTAAGCCTTAAGTTCTGGTCATCTTAGAGGAGGAGTTGCAGTTAATGAATGGAGTTCCTATTGCTTAGATTTTGATTAGCCAGACAATCAATTTTATTTTCCCACCTTTTCAATACATTTCAGATCTTTATGAGCAGTCTCATCTTTGGAAATCTATATTATTATTAGTATTATTATTATTGTTATGTTTATTTCATCAAATGATCAACACCACATTACCTAAGGTGAAACAGCAAGGTTCCTAAATGGTTCTTGGCTTGGACATATAATTCGAGGAAAAGAAGTAGCATTATAATAGAACCCTTACATTATGTGGAGGTTCTTTAAACATCATAAACCATGTCTTAACTGTCACACATTTCTTTTACAAAAGTACCAGCCATTGAAAGTGGGTCCTATGTGGTATCACCCCAAAGAACCCTATTTGGCACCTTTGCTCATGGCTCATATCATGAAAAACTTAATTGTACTCCATTTTTGAAATAAAATGTAGTATATATACACACGTTTCAAACCTGTTCACTCCCCAGTCCATGTATATGGAAAATAAGCATCATATAGACTGGTTTTAGGATGTCATCAAAACCAACACATGTACATATGTCTGCTTATTTAACTGACAGAAAATAAGTTTTTCAGCCCAGAATGCTTTTTGAGGTACAAAACAGGGCAGCCAATCAGAACAGAAGTCATTTACATAAAGGCACAGTATCTAAAAACAGGCTGTGTAATTCTAAGGGATAAAGAGAGGTTGGAAAGTGGTCATGTACAAATGAATTATAACTGTTTCTGGTACATAAAAATACACAAACATCATAAGTGGAAAAAATAAAACACATAGAAAATTAAGGGCAAATAGGTCAGTGATAACAGCAAATCTACGTATAGCCTGAAGACCCAGATAAAAAAAGAAACATTTGCTCAAAATGTAAGTGTGAGGGTTCAAATTTATATATATGGATTACAAAGCAGAGATTGTAAATACTAATGAGTACAAGAACAGTGAGTTTATTTTTTTCCCCCCATACATATCATACAGTGGATATAAGATAAAAGCCTAATGGGATGCTAATGGCATGGAACGGTAGCCATTAGCATTGTGGTTGCTGTCCCCCTAGTAAACCACTACAGAACGTGACATACACACAAAGAGGCTTAAAAAGCTCTTTTTCTCTAGCACTATAATAGATGTACATTCAGATATAAGTCATTACATTCACTTTTCCCCACACAGGTTTATCAGCCTTGAACACTTAGGTCCCTGCTGTTGTTTGTGGGACATAAAAATTAAGCCTCATCATCACATAATGCTACGTTTTAAAAATGCGTTCACTGTAGCTCATTACTGCATCAGGTTTTTGGTTTATTAACTGTTAATCATTTTAATTAGTGGCGCACCTAATAAATTCAGATGTTGACGTGTTTATCATCCCATAAAGTGACTCTAAGGAGAACAAGTGTTCATTCATAAGCCAACAGAATAGCGTTCTTGGACGTGCAGTTCAGTGCACCAAGATTGTGCTGATTTGCAAAGCTCTCATTAACACAGTTTGGAGTTTTGCTGGCTAAAGACTTATCCAACTCCCCTGCTTTTGGGACCACCTCTTCTGGCTCGTCGCCATGGAAACCGTTGGCATCTGTTGCACAGCTTCAGGGGGCTCATGGAAAAGAAAACAAATGAATTTAATTAAATAAATCGAGGTCCTGGTTTTTCTAGGCCTTGCATGAGCCCTCTAGGCCCTCTGCTCCCTCCTGACGCACACCTCGGGCTCTGCGAGAATGTAAAGTCGTAAATTTCCATGCTAATACGCTTTTATTTCATTATGACTAGCATTATTATTTCCCCTCTTTCTCAGCCTTATTCAGCAGGCATGTTTACCATTTACACCTTTTCCCCCCACATCATAACGCCGTAATATTGGTTCACGCAGAAGAACTCCTCAACAAAGGGAATTAGCAGCCATGATCGAGAGAAGGAGTGACGCTAATGTGACTAAAACGAAGTAGAGTAATGACTGTGTGGCGCTGGCTGCTTGTGGCGGTGGAGAGAGTGATGTTGTGGTGTTAATGCAGTTGTGGGCTGTGTTTGGTTAAATGAAAACACAGGCGGACAGCGTGAATAACAGCTCCCGCAGTTTTGCGGACTCGTTCTCTGTGTGAATTTGTGACTCCCATCCATCTGTTTTGGGGCCCAACTGCGTTTTTGTTGATTAAATGCTCTGTGAAGGATAAGTGTTTCTTAATCTGATGTGTTCTGATGAGTTTGTTCATTAACAAATTCAGCATTTGGCGTGCTGCGTTTATAAAGCACTCTGAAAGTTTTAATTGCAGACATTGTACATTATTGCATTTGTATACCTCCTCAACCAACCAATGAATGGATGGGTTCTGTGCTTTCTCAAAAATGACTCAGTAATAATAACAACAGTGTTAAATGATATGTTAATATTGAACTGGTGTACACATAAGGCTGGTTTTGTGGATATGGACTAAGCTACAATGTCAGTGGTGTTTTACAATTGAAAATCCTGCTTAGTCTAGACTTAGACTTGGGCTGGGTCAGGGAAACTGGTCAGTAGTAATGTAAGCCATGTAGTTAAACCAGGCTACAGTGTTTATTTTGTAAAGTTGACTTTACTGCTGATATCCACAGAGTTGGCAGTTTATTATAGACATTAACCTTCTGCCTTCACTTATTGGCCATTTTATCAGAAACGCCTACCACAGTTGCACTTTGTAGGCTTACAGTTACCGACTGTAGCCTGTGTGTTGATGCACAATTTATCAGCCGCCTCTACACCATCCCTCAATGGAAAGGGACAAACGCAGGACCACCACTCACCATTATTATTTGGGTGGTGGACTATTCTCAGCACAGCAGTTACAGCAATATGGACATGTGTCACAGAGCATTGCTGTTTTTAAGATCTCATAACGTAATGCACTTCTACAACCACAACACCCACTACCACCAAGTACCAACCTTCCACTACCACACTGTCAGGAAAAAAGGGTACTGAACAGGTACAATTGTTTCTTTGACTCACTAAGTTTTAAGGGGAGGGGTTCATATTTGCACCTTTTCACAACTTACATTTTTTTTTTAAATGGAAAATAATACACAACAGGGAGAGCTATACTGTGAGGTATTGACACTGATGTGCTGCAGTCATTCACACAAACCAAAAGCCAGTATCTCACAGTATAGCAGGACCTTGAGTGTATTATTGCGTCTATACCACTGATTATATCACGTTTCAAAAATGATTAATATTACACCTTGAGACAATTTTGACTCAAAAACTGATTCACAGTAAAGTGTATTTACACTCTGCAAAGTAAAACAGCTCTGATCTAGTGCTGCTGCATAGAAAGGCCACTAAAAGAAGTATCGCATTGCAAAACCTTCAGGATATCTCCACTGGAAACATCACAACTGCTCTTCAAGTACACATCAGGTAATAGCTTAAGAGAACCAGTTGCATATTTTCCATGTATGTAACATTTAACACAATATAAGAAGCTCACAGCAGATTAAGAACGTGGTACTGCTGACTGAAACTTTCAGCAGTGGCCTTATAAAAACAACAGAAGCCTTATACTTAACACATCCTGAAGGTTGAAGTTAGCATTAAAGTTGACATATACTCTGCAGACAACACACTTCTAAGCATTTTCATGCACAATTACCGTGCCTGTTGCTCTTCGTGTGTGCATTTCATGAAGAATGGACCAAAAGAAATGACCCAAAATGACCTGGGAAAAAAATGTGGTTCCATTGACTTGCATTAAAAGTAAAGTATGTTTTTTCTTCCCTTCTCTTGTGAAGTTACCATTTTGGAGATACAAGGTTCTCTTCTGACAACAGTGATTTATATAATCAAAAAATAGAAATCTAAAATTAGCAGAAAATGACAACTTGTTCCCTTATTGTCACTTAAAAACTTTTAAAACATAATTTGACAGAGTGTCATTGTATACAGTAGGTGTTTCTGAGAAATGGTCATGGTAGGTATACCTAATAAACTGGCAGCTCTGTGTATATACACATTCATATAGTCATGAATAAAGAGATTTAGGTGCTCTTTTGGCCCATCTGGCAAACAAAGAGAAATGATTATTTATTATAGAAGTTGGATTATTTAAGATACAATATCAGGCATCTTGCTGTGTGCATTATAAAGGCCTAATATATATTACATATGACATGATCAGGGAAGAGGAGTGAAAGTTATAATGTTGTGGTCTCTCCCTTGCTCTTTCTCTCTCTCACTCCCTCTCTCCTTGCAGTCTCTCTTTCTCCTTCATCTGCTCTGTTTCTTTTTAACCCACAGCTACAAGAATCAGTCTATCAGAAAATTGTAGAAATGGCACTATTTATTTTTGATTTTATTTTTATTTCTATGGTAACTGCGGGACTGCTTTCATTAAGTGATATGCATCTGTGTTTTTAATGTGATTAAATCAAAATGTTTTTTTTTTCCTTCCTTGTTTACTGTGTTCTTTATTTGTTACTATTAATTATTCTCTTCATGACAGAGTGAGTGAGCGAGAAAGAAAAGGAGAGAGCGAATCCTGAGGCCTGTATACACCGAGGCAGCTTAGAAACAAATTAAACAGATTGAAATAAAACAAATGAATGATTCTGATGGCGCTTCTATCAGAATATCAGAATGCACAGCTCTACCGTAAAAGTAAACAAGAGCACTTTAATGGAATCATTGCTGTTTGGCTTGTTATCGCTTTTACCACATTGCACAGGTCACTCAAACATTTTGAACACGTTGTTGTGAATCTCCTGGAAACTTGACAATCACAGTAAAGCTCAATATATGAATCTGATTTTAGGAGTCTCAGAAATGTGTGACAGACACCAATGCTATGTGACAAATCTGGCATATTGATAGAACAAATAGTAATAACTGACCTGATACTGGTGTAAATTTAATTCTGGATTTCTTGTTTGTGCTGAAACAGGTCACTGCATTCCTCAGGAAGTAAACAAGTGGACAGAGAAACACAGAGTAACTGAATTTCCCCAAAGAAAACAATCTCTCCTCAAACCCACACAAACAGTCTCTCTGTGACACAACAGATGAAGGATGAGGGTTATCTTTAAATGCAGTGGAGTGGAAGAAAAGACACGCAGATTTTTTTTTCGGCAGAACCGTTTGAGCCTCTTGTGAACTCATTCACAGTCCCACCTGCCAGTTATCTTCTGAACTGATGTACTGAAGGACCGAGTAACATACAGAACTGCAGAGGAACCTATTAGTAAATCCAGCATCTCTCAGCATAGAAACTGACTATTCTTTTCTTTTTGGGATTCTTTTGGTCTAAAATAAAAGGATAAATCTTTGTGATTGGTGCTTTGTGACCAATCACAAAGCACCAACAAAACATCAATTCCAACAGAGGGAATGAATAAAATATATACATGGTTAAATGTTAATGAGTAATCAGAAGATTAATTTCCTCACTA